CTCTGGGTCTGTCTCTTCTGGCTCTTCCTCTGTCTGTAGGAGAAACACCCGTTGGACCCAGCATTTATGGCCCAGTCCAAACTTATCATCACAGTTATAACAAAGGCCTTTCTCACGTCGGGCTTGCATCTCAGCCCATGAGAGACGTTTGAAGGGCATAGTGGGTCGGGGCAATATGGGCTTTTGATGATCCTCAGCCGGTTTCATGGGCTGCTGATCGACCCGTGGAGGAGTCCTCAAATTCGGGTAGGTCGGTTTGCTAGCTCTACGAAGGTTGTCAATTCTTTCTTCTTGCAAGCAAGCCAATCTCACCGTAGCCATGACAGTCGCCGAACGGAGAGCCCTCACCTCTAGATGGATATCCTCTCTAAGACCTCCCACAAAACATCCTACACTAAGGCTTTCTCTGGCCAGCCGTGTACCCTAGTCGCCATCCGCTCAAACTCGAGTCGGTACTCTACTACCGTTCCAGTCTGCTTCAACCGGGTGATCAGCTCGTCGTAGTCCACGAACGTCGTCGGCCCAAAGTGGATGCACAAAGCTTCGGTGAACTCCGCCCAAGTTACCTGGGGATGATTCTAGCGATACCACTAGAGCCATAGAATCGCGTCTCCTCTAGATGAATGGAGGCGATGGAGACACACTGGTGTGCGGGAGTTTCGTGGTATTTGAAATATCTTTCTGCTCGGAAGATCCAAGGAATGGGATCTCCACCGGAATAGTTGGGAAAGTTGATCTTAGTGACTTTTCCGATGGGGTAATACCCTGTTCTTTGGCTACTGGAAGCAGAGGCTTCCGCTCCTGCTAGGTGACTAGTCTCGCCGGACTGTTGCTGAGAGACGAAGCTGGAAAAGACCACTTTGAGTTCCTTGAGTTCGTTCAACACCTGGTGAAATCCAACCTCCAGCTGGTCGACCCTTTCATCCACGGTAGTGGAACGTGTCTGTGGCATCGTGAAGCATGGGATTTGGATAGCCTAGCTCTAATTAGGGTTGTTCATGGGTTGGGTTGGGTCGGTTTACTGATGTTTTTCCAACCGACCCGATCTGGTCGGGTTACCTGAAATTGAAACCGAAACCGACCCTGTGTTAAGCAAAACCAACCTGATCGGTTTGAATCGGTTTGGATTGGTTTCGGCTCTACTTAGTGGTGACTTAGTTGTTGTTCAAGTGTTCATTTCTGGCTCTACATTCCCAAAGGAAACCAGCATTTCCTTAATGTTTTGCGGCCCATCCATGGATCCAGTTGTGGAGGGAGCAGAGTTTAAGAGTACTATTTGCCAACCGGTGTCCACTTACACTGTAGAGATGAGAGATATATAGTGTAACTAAGTAGGTTGTAACTACTAACTACTAAGTCAGTTCGGGTCGGGTCGGTTTCGGTTTTCACACATGAAAACCGAATCCGAACCGAATCATTGGTTTATGATTTTTTATAACCCAAAACCGACCGGTGATGAAGAAAACCCGGCCGACTCGGATTGGGTCGGTTCGGGTTGGGTCATCTTATGAACAGCCCTAGCTCTGATATCTGATGAGTTACCGCTCACCTTGGAAGCCCCTTCGAGGGTGGCTTAACCTTTTGAAACAGAAGATGGGAGGGAAAGGAGAAAGGTAGGAAGAAAATGACTCAGAGAGAGAGATGAAAGGGATATTCATTCACGCCACTTATTACATGATCAGGGCCTTATATAGCTGGCCTACATGTGTGCAATCATGGAGAGAATATCTTCTGGTGGCAGTGTAACTAACTCTGGGAGGCTCTGCCGCGTGTCACTCTAGCCTCTCTGTCTTCTAGTGAAATGTTGCTCGGTGGTGGCCTGCTCCACTCCTATAGTTGGGTTCGAAGGGAGTGTTTGGGTCCCAACAGGATCTCAGGAGGGGCCTCAGGGAAAATGAATGCGCCTCTTTAGTTCAATTGTTGAATCTAATAAGACAAGTTCATTTGGACCCATCCATGGAAGATTCTAGAATTTGGAAAGGCTCCTCAGGTGGCCTCTTCTTTTGTTCCTCCTTCTTTAGTGTTCTTGCCACACCTAGCAACCCGGTTGGGGACTTCCCTATAAAAGAAATTTGGAGTAAGCCTATCCCTCCAAAAATTCAAGCCTTTTGTTGGGAAATTCTCCTTGGCAAGGTTAATACTTGTGATATGCTGCAGAGAAGGCCTTTTGCTTGTCTTTCTCCTCGCATGTGCTCCCTTTGTAAGGAAAGTGGTGAGACCTTGGCATATCTATTATTATCTTGTTCCTTTCTGCATCACAATTGGGAATATTTTTTGTTTTCTCTTTGGTTGCAGGTGGGTTTCCCCTCAAGATGCGGCAGGACTTTTCAACCAAGACTTTTTGAGGCAATCAAAGAAAAGAAGGAAGGTTATGTGGAAAGCTACAAAGGCAACTATTTGTTGGGTAATATGGGAAGAAAGGAATAACAGAATATTCTTTGATAAGAGTAGAACAAGGGAGGAGGTAATCGACACAATTAAAGTTAAAGTAGCTCATTGGGTAAGATTTCAGTCACAAACATTATAAGATCCTGGACAAAAGTAGCGCAATCTTCAAGGCGAAAGAGAGAGTAAGGATGGAATGGAAACCTACAGATGGTAACAAAATTAAACTGAATTTTGACGGAAGCTCTTTTGGAAATCCAGGACTGTCAAGTATCGGGAGAGTAATCAAAAATTCTGAAAGGAGAATATTAGCATTGTTCTTTGGACCTATCGACATGGGTAACTCTCTAAAAGCTGAGTTAATGGCATTGCTACAAGGATTGAAGATAGCTAAGCAACTAGGAATGAGGCATATTGAGGTTGAAGAGAACTCCAAGGTGATCATCTCTTGGGCTAAAAACAATAGAACTACTCCGTGGACTTTCAAACAAGTGATAAGGGAAGTGGAAAAGGTCGCAAGGGAGGTAGAGGCTGAATTTAAATGGGTTAGAAGGAGTGCAAATGGACTAGCTAATTATCTTGCTAAACAAGGGGCTTTGAGGCAACAATTGTTTTGGGCTGCAATGTAAAGAGGGACAGAAATATGTAATAGTATGGGAGCTCTAATCCCATACACAAAGTTGTAAGACTTTTTAACTCTAATTTCAAATAAAATTCTCCTTTGCTGATCAAAAAAATATATATAGAAATGATATTATAAAAGACACCATCTTGTTATTTTTGTCACCTAGAAGGGCACCTAGTTGCTAAAAGTCAAGGCGTTCGGGCGAGGCATCCAGCCAAGTGCGCCTAGGCAACGCCTTGACAACTAGTGTATTTTATGCAAAGATAATGGTGAGAACTGTTACCATCTACTTATCTCTTGTACCTTTTGTTGCATATATTTGGGAATGGTTCTTTCCTTGTTTTGGGTGTAGGCGGAATCAAGGATCAAAATTTCGTCATGTATCAACCGATACGTATCGTATTGGAGCCTTCCCAATATGCCCCTACAGGGGGTGTTAGGGTCAGGAAGTGGTTCAGGGGGTAGACTGGCCTTAAACCAGCCCCTCTGAACCAGTTTCAAAAAAAAAATAAAAAAAAAAAAAACATCAAAAAAACAGTACCGATACAGGTCGATATGCCCTACCAGCGTATCGGCCTATATCGATATTTTGAACCTTGGGCGGAATCCTCAAGTTGACGTGCAAAGACTATTTGATCCTTCATTTTTCCAATGGCCAAATAAGAGGGGAAGACTAATGTGGAGATGCACTACAACAGCGATACTATGGACAATATGGGAAGAAAGGAATTCAAGACTTCTTGGAAAAGGAAAGAAATAAGGAAGACTTGATTGAAACATTAATGGTTAGGGTGGCTCATTGGCTCAAATCTCTAGAAACCTTTTCTAATGTAACTATGGATGACATTCTTAGAAAATGGAAGGAAGTTGCAACTTTTGTACCTTATACACCTGCTACTACTCATCTTTGGTCTACACCAGAAACAGGATCTATCAAACTCAACTTTGGTGGTAGTAGTATAGGAAACCCAGAACCATAAGGAATTGGAGGTGTATTTAGGGATGAAGAGGGGAGAATAATTGCCCTTATTTTCAAGCCCGGTGGGAGAGGGAGACTCTTTCAGAGTAGAGGTTTTGTCAATGATGGAAGGAGTCCAAAGGGCAAGGTCTTTGAATATTAGGAAATTAATAGTGGAAGGGGATTCACAGTTGGTTGTAAATTGGCTTCATAGTGATGAAATGAAGATGTGGTTCTACACCAATGAAAAGAAAAAATTCAGATGGCTAACTAGGGACATGGAAGTATCATTCAGCTGGTGTAAGCGTAGCGGTAACTCCTTTGCTGATACTCTAGCAAAACAAGGGGTGGGAAGGGTGCAATTAAGGGGAGAAATAAGTTGTTTTATCTCTTCACTGTCTTTTCTATGTATATCTACTCACTGTACTATATCATGTTTCTAATCTAATGAAAATTAACAATTGCTGATCAAAAAACCAATACAGTGGGTGGGGAGATCAGCTAATTCCTTTGCTGATATCTTGGCAAAATAAGGGACAAATAGGGAAACATTGTTTTGGGCTCAACTGTAATTTTGTATTAACACTCATGTACTTTTTGCTTTAGCTTGTGTTTTCTGTTTGGAGAGGCAGCATCTCGCACCTTCCCAAGGGACTGTTCTTGTAATCTCTCTTTTATTTAATGGAAATGTGATATTTTATCTATCAAAAAAATTAACTATAATTAGGACATGAAATGAACTTGATCTACCAGAGATCTGACCCTATTCCATATCACCCTTTAGTGGGTACAGCGTCCTCAGAAAAGTCTGCATTCAATAATTGAATAATTTTGTGACTTTTTAATGTATCAGATAATTGAATTAGAGATAACAAGTTCTTTTTTTATTGTAAGTACTAGGATTTGTTGAAATATCTTCAGTTTAAGAAAAGTGAAAGAGCATCCTTCAAATGGAAAACTATTAAGAGATACACACAACCACAACTGAGCGAATGAAACAAGCTTCTTAATGCAAATGCATCAACTACCTACCTCTTGATCTGACTGGCGTTGACCATCTTTAGGCAACTTGCTTCTGTCATTTATGAAAAACAAGTTTGTTTGCCCAGAAAAGTCCCAAATGCGTAACTGTTCAATAGCTTAAGTGAATAAACCATCCAGTGCTAGTAAAACCATTGCTGGTTGAAACAACTTCAAATTAATAATTAGGAAGCTTACTAGCTCAGGTTCGACACTGAAAATCTTGCATGCCCTTTTGTAGAGTTCAACTGCATTGTCCTAAAATATGTACATAAACATTATGAGTTAAAATTAAAAACAAAAATGCTCTAGTAAGGCGAACATGGTGACCAAGAATTACATGTATTCAATGTTTACATGGTACTATCTGAATTAATAAAATCTTACTTTACCTTTCAAAAAATATATATTAAACAAACAAAGAAGAAAAAGAAAACAAATAATAAAATATTAATTATTTAGACAAAAATACAACATAAAGTTTGTTACATCACCATTTTCAGTACAAATCATGGGGAAATTTCAACAGATAAAAGCACAGAAGAAGAATAGCATGTAATAGGTGAATGCAATCAAACAAAGAAAAATCCTATGAAATCTTTAATTTAGATAGCAAATTAACTAGTTACTTTTTGATCATCAAGTCATCATGCATCTTTTCTCTCTTATCTATTACTGACTCCGTTGCAGATGTCATAGAGACACAGAGAAGGAAAGAGTACTTCCTATAATATTTTACCCTATATAAACTCATATGCACTTTAAGTGTCTGCACCTCTGGGAATTGGACAAAAGTAGGCTTCCAAAAATGCAAATAGTGCAATCAAATTGTTGGCTACTTGCCTACTTCTCAATTAGTTGACTAAATAGGTATTTAACAATCCTCACCCAACCAGACAACCAATATGGCCAGGTCAAGAATGCAAAAGGAAAGGAAAAAAAAAAAGAACACAAAGGGCTATACATTGAAAGCACTTCTATGTTTTTTTTTATTTTTTGATCAGCGAGAAAAGCACTTCTATGTTTTCACTTCAAGTGGACCAAGTGGTGGTGGATAGTGAGAAAACCAATCCACCAGTCCAATTAACTAGACACCAGCTAGCTTCCATGACCATACTAGTTCCAACACCCAAAAAAAATATATTTTGGGGCCTGAGAACCCCAGTCAACCGGGGGAAGCTAGGTCTACTGTTTATTGCTTCCTAACAAGTAAGAACTAATTAATCATTAAATTGCATCCCAGAAATGCTCTGTTCAACTCTTCATATTATAGAAAAAATATTGGGCCATAGTTGTCTCATTCTAAAATTAAATTTAGTTATACGATGCATAGCTGCTTACTTAATACTAGATGATGATCTGTTTGGCAAAAAAAAAAAAAAGAATTGCAACTGCAAATTTAGATTTCTATTGAATAAAGAAAGTTCTAAAACCAAACTTAAGGCTACATCAAAACTTATAGTACTTTGTTATTGTACATGCCCATTATCAAGGTTTGCAACAAAGCATATTTGTGTGTATGAGAGAGAGAGAGAGAACAGTTTCACAAGGTTTGACCTTTTTACTTATCCTCACTGATAATGAATTTGTATCCCGCATAACAGAGAGCCTGAGTTGTAGAGGATAGACATCTGCCATATCATCCTCCGCACCTGAAAAGTTCCTACTGTCCTTCATTGCCATATTAGAATCACTGTGCCTGCAGGAAAACAAGAGGGAAAAAAATCAACCTCCGAATATGTAACCAAGATTTATTTAGTTCTATATGCATCAATAAAAAACCAGAATTTATAATTAACAAAACCCACAAGTAAACACTTCATAGATGTTGTCTAATTAATCAAATAAAAGTGACAAAAAGAAATGTCACTTCATTTCAGAGCACACACACACACTAAAAATAAAGTACCAGAAGCATCAAGGATGGGTGAATATTTCTGTTGCTGATCCCAAAAAAAAGAGCATGGGAAAATTAGAAACAATGACCCAGATGTGAAATTAAAATTCACTAAGATGGCATAGTCATTACAAACTAAATTCTAAATAAAAGGAAACATTTGCACAGTCCGCAGTTTAATGGTCTTTCTAGCAGAACATGTGGGAATTGGAATAAAGAAAAATATGTATTGCTACAAGTGTGTAATCTCCGGTATGGAGTAGTTCTAGTAATCAAAAAGCATCAAGTGAGGGGATCTGCAGAGAAGTTCACTTAACCAAAACATCTACCAAAGGGAAACTAGCATCCTAAGCAGAAGATAATCGTAACAAGTAGTAGTTATGATATACTCCACTTCAGAAACCTATCATTGAAAAAGATACTGAGACGTACAAATTCTTATTTTTGGTTTTCAGAGTAGATAAAAACACATCCAATGCGAAGAAGTTGATGGGATACGTAGTGGAGTCAAAAAAATTAGATTACCAGAATGATTTGGTTTTACCCTCTCACCATTTGAGCGCCTTCAACCACATTTCGCCAGTGACCAAGGCATAATCCCGTCCCGATACTCCCTCGTCATCCAGATCATCCTGCCCGGAATCTTCTTCTCTCCTAAGGTTGAAAACGAGATCCGAGTTAAAAATGTTATTTATGATCTTCATCGGACCGGCATAAGAGGTTGACGACGCCGTATATACAATGCCTCTGTTCTCATCTCCATCCCCAGACGAAGGCTCCTGAGCTTCCTTCCACCACCTGAAATCCACTCCATACATCAGACAGAACATTCTCTTAATAAAAATATGCAATCTCCAGCTTCCTACGCAACAAACGAACACCAACATAACATATCCAACCATTAAGTAAATCCTATGGCCAAAACAAAACTCTCCACATGAATCATAAAAATTTCACCTAATTGCATCATTAGAGTTCAATTGACACCTACTTCCAGATTCAGAAACCAAACAGTTCTAAGATCTAAAGAGGATATCAATAGAGAAAAGAATCCACAAACCAGAAATCGCATCGGAATAAGAACAACGAAGTACCTGTAAGGCACGAAGTAGACCCTTTCATCTTCTGATATTGGACGCTGAGCCCCATCGGCGCGGTCTTCCGAGGCGAAGTCGTCCATTCCAGAGAATTTGAAGGTCCTCGAGATCAAAAACGGCTAAAGAGATTCACGGAAATGCAGAGCATTTGAAGCTAAGAGAGAAGGAGAGAGTTGGACAAATAGAGAAAATGGCGGATTTGCAGAGAAAGAAATGGAGCTTTTTTGTGAAGAGGATTTGAGGAGGGAAAATATTTATATTAAAGATATTAAAACGCAAAGAAAATAAAGAAAGTAAAGCGGAGAAAAGAGAGGTGAGTGTGCAAAAAAAAAAAGAACAGGATTTCACACTGCACTCTAACAGGAAACAGAAGATCTGGACCGTCCATCAGAAACTCAATCCCTTCTCAATGGCCAACTTCCATTCATTGAATCCTAGCCATATAACATCAAACGATCAAAGCTGCTTGATCTGAACCCAGTTTAGATAACTGTCCGATTGGAATCGGTACATGAATCAACAACTGGCCCACAAGTTAAACTGGTGATGGGGAAAAGAACAAACTGCTTTTGGTTAAATCAGAAACGAAATATGCGTGAGCCTGTGACTCTGTGAGGCGTGAGCCAAACCAAGGCACCATGGATATTCTCCTCTCGCGATGCTTTGAGAAACCCGGACCACCACACGATCGGTGGTCCATGGGTGTAGCGTGGGGCCAAGCTATAATTACGGTTAGATTGGAATCTGCTTTTGATCTTTCTGGAACTAGTAAAATGATTTAATAAGACATATCCAGAGTGAAAATATTCCAAATTCACGGTGTCTACGTTTCACAAGATTTTCAATGAACACAGTGTCATTCAATTCTTCGTGCCAAAAATGGGGGAAGGGGACAAACTTGATCAGATTCACGTCCCATTCTGGAAAGTCAAGGTCCGAAGATAGTGCCTTCATCGGAATTTGGAAAAAAAAAAAAGTAATAAAATAGATGACACTGTTGTGGTTATACGGATCGGATCCAGCTCCGAGAGTGTTTAAGTTAAAAATAAGTGTTTATTTGAATAAGTATTTTTGCATTCGTTTGGTAGTAGGGGTGAGAAAAAAAAATCGAAAAACTGAATCGATAGAAATCGATTCAAAAATTTGGTTAATCAAATCGGTCGGTTCAGTTTCGATTCAATATTAAAAAAATAAATAAAGGTATCAGTTCGGTTTTGATTAACCAAAACTGGTAATTAATCAAATCGACCGATATACACGTATTTATATATTTTTTATGTATATTTATATAATATATATTATATTTTCTATACATTATAAATTAATAAATATGCATTATATATAAATATATATTTATAATATATAATATACTATTTATTATTTAAAATATAATGTTATATATTTCTGGTATTTTATTATATATTTATATATTTTTCTATAATAAATATTGTAACTAATAAAAAACCAACAAATTGACGAACCGAACCGACAATTAACCAAACCAGTCAACTGGTTAACCGATCGGCTTGGTTCGGTTTCAATTATCGGTTTTAACCCTAGTTTGTTTCAAAAATTAGAACCAAGCATGAGCACCCCTATTTGGTAGTTTTTTTTTCCAATAAGCACTTAAATAAACATTTATGACTATTTTGTCCTTATTTTTCTTTCAGATTTTCAAAATACACCCTTATGAAAGAACTTTAACTAAATTATTTTTATAAAAGCACATTTTTGTGAAAGTACTTTTATGAAAGCACTTTTATGAAATTGGTTCTATAAAAGTAATTTTATGAAAGTACTTTTATAAAAATACTTTTATGAAAGTATTTTATAAAATTCAACTAAGCATCATTTTATAAGTTATATTTTAAAATTCAACTAGGGATGAGTTTTGAAGAAAACAAATTGAATAGGTGCTTATTGTATAAGCACTTAAAAAATACCATAAATGTGGGCTTAAAAAATAAGCCATTATTTTAAAAATTAAGTATTTATTTTGGGCTTATTTCCCAAATACCAATAAGTGCTTAATAACCAAAATAAGCACTCCCAAACATGGCCTTAATCTGACACCGATGCTAAGAAAATTAATAATTAAAAAATATTTTTCAATTTATTAATGTAAATGCATGTGTTATGTATTTGTGCAAGTAAAGGACAATGATATAAGATATAGTTTAATATTATATAATCAAATTCAATTTTTATGATGTGTACCAATGCAATTATCTACTTTATGCTTTATACGGTATATTATATATATGGCATAAGTGTATATATAATATAAATTATAAGATATTAAATTTATTAGTTTTTTTAACATGAAAATCCTGAAGGCATCTCATTATATTAGCTCGATGAAATGTCATATACAATAGTATTCTTCAAGAAAGTAGGTATAGAAGACCAATTAAAAGATCTTTGCAATAATAATTCATATTTAGCAAGAATATAGACTGCATTATTTGACGATCTTTGAATATGATCCGTCAAGTTAGGATTCAAGTGAAAGAGAGCACCCATGCAATTGTCGATAATAGTGTAAAGAAGCCATTATGATTCACAAGTGTCTACCAATAGGAAGATTGTAATTGATTAGCAATCACTTTCAATAATAATTTTAGAGCAAAATAGTAGTCTCTCGAACTAAATACTCTAATAGAAAGCCTTAACCTCTTCCATATACAGACTTTCACATATGAAAGGAATTGCCCCCACCAATATAAACCAGCTCTGCCATTCCCTAATCACAACACCAACCGTTGAAAGATCATTTTTGAATGTTGCATCCACATTAACAAACTATTATATAGCAATCCCCATGATACACTGCTATCATTAGAACCAACAAGAAAATTCATGTAATTGTATGCTTTAAAAATGACATTGATATAATCAAATATCACACCCTCGAATACATAAACGTTATGGACCATCCAAATTTGGTGAAACGTGACAACCTTCACCAATGATGCACCATCAATTTCATGTAATTTTTGATAATCTCATTGATATATTAGAAATTATACACAGTTTTTAAAATTGACCCGGATAACGAATTGGTTAGGGGTCTGGTTCCTGGGTCGAATGATCGGCCCGTTTTGACAAAAAAATAAAAAACAGTCAAAACTGTTGAACCAACCGAATTGTTCAACTGGCTTTTTTATGCATATGATAATTTGGTAGAAATTGTTTTGCATATGATAATTTGGTGCCACATCCATTGTGGACTTTATAAACATAGTTATTCCTGTTTGTGACAATAGAGAAACCTTCCATTCATCTAGCTTTTTATGCATATTGTATACTCAGGTTTGTCATTCATAGAATATTGTTTTACACTATAAAATAGTCAAATCCAGATAAATATCATCAACACCCATGGTTTGCACTCATAAAAAAACAAAAATGTAAGATCACATGCAGCGATCGATAAGTGTTATTACTAAAATAAATAGAAGACTTTTGATAGTTGATGTGTTGCCCAAACCATTTACAGAAGGTTGATAACAATTGTTTTAAACTACTAACTTCAATCATTAAGCATCAACTAAAGATATTTGACCAAATATTGTTCAAACCTAGTGCCACCTACGAGTCTTTCCTTTAACACACAAAATAGTGATTGTAAACACTCCAGTACAAATAATGTAAAGATATGGAAAAAAGAGAACAACCCTACCTAAACCAATTCAATCGGTCGGACTAAATATGTAAAGGGCTACATTTAATAAAGCAATCAACTTTGGTGTTGAAATACATTTATATATCAAACCACAAAAATGCTCGTTTAAGCTTATAGAAAAAAACAAATGCTAAAAGTATAAATTATCATTATACATTATCGCATGCTTTGGACATATCAAATTTCATTAGAAAGTATGTGTGTTTACCTTTTTGTCTATTTATAGTATTTATTAATTCTTGAGCAATGACATATTATCTAAAAGTTGTATCTTTATTGTAAATGCATTATAAAGAATGTCAAATTATCTTTTTTAATATAGGTTTCAATCAATGCATAGTTATTTTGCCCACTATTTTATAATGATGTTGCTAAGCTCAATAAGATGAAAATCCTTAGCCTCCTCTATTGCAATTGATTTTTTGAATAAATAAAATTATTGTTTGATCAATATATGCAATTATGTATAGGCAATGGAAATAATACCAACATTTACGATAAACAACCACTTGAACACCATCAAGGCTAAGGGCTTTTGAAGGGTCAATACTAAAAAATGCTTCATTTATCTCTTTAAAGGTAAAAAAAAAAGATTGGTATAACATCTAATAAACAATATTAGACACCACAATAGACAAAATTGAGAAATCATCTAGTGAATGATCATTATTGTTGGAAATAAGTTGTTTGAAGTACTCGAAGAGGATAATCGCAATCTCAAATTACAATGAAGTGTAATTGCTATCCACTCGCTTAAGCCAATGAAATTAATTATGTATTTTTATATTCGATGCCAACACATTGAAATATCTTTATTATTATCTCAAACCACTTTCTAATTCAGCAATTACACATAACATCTAATAAATTAATTCATGAACAAATTATTTATCCAATTCGATTAATAACTTCTTTTCCAATATAGCATTGGCAACGGATGAGGATTTGGCTTACAACATCAATAGTTACTTATCAAGTTCATTCATTTTGCTTATGATGGACCTTGTAATCCCACCTCTATTAACAAAAGTATACTTCACATTAGTGTATTTATTCATAAATTTCCCATCAACTCCATACCATGCATTATTGAATTTATTAAAAAAAAGTAAATTATTTGAATTGTATTGTTTTAAAATAGTTGCCTTGGCTTGTTTTGTTATGATTAAAAAATCTAAGCACAATAGGTAAATGGCCACTATCAATGAATGCAAGACGATGTACCACCACAATCATAAACAAATAAATATTTAAAATATATGCAGTATTCCATCCAATCGCATCTTGATAGGATAAGTTTTTCATCCATTACACCAAACAAAACATGTCTATAATAACCTACATTCATAATACTATAATTTAATATAAATTCGTTAAAATGAAGTATAAAACCGAAGTTGAATTGGCCACCGCCATATTTTTATGCAATATTCAGTATACAATTAACATCACCTATTACTCACAATGAACCATACAAATTCATCATACACACATTTAGAATTTGAAATAAGGAATTACATCATTCAATACTGTGATATACATAAAAGCGCCATATATACCAATCATGTCCACAAAAGTAGTTCAATATATTCACAAGTACATGAGATGATAATGAATCAATTATTTGAACTTTAATACTATAATTCAAACCAAATACAATATCACTCAAACAACCCACTTTATTTTACTGACATAAAGGAGTTTATTTAAATCTAAAATTATTCGACAAGGGTAGAATGCCCGGTTGAAAGTCTAGTACAATTGGTAGCACGCATGTTCGTTTCATGTCCCGATCAATAATGATAAATAGGTGATGCACCATCCTTGTTGCTTCGTACTTTGACATTTACTTTTTAGAGAACTCCATAAACCTTGTAAATTCGAATATATAACACTCATTTTTGTTGTGGTGGTGATTTAAGGATTGATTCTACCAGCCCAAGACGAGTATCGATTGGATACAATATTTAATGATTATATTAAATTATTTGTCATCAATGGGTTGCATCATAAAAAATGGGGAGATTGTTGTTTTGTTCTAAAATCGACCCATACTGGTCAAATTCCAAAATTCTTAATAGGGTAGGTTCTAATTCAAAAAATCTAAACCGATCCATATTGGTTTAGGTTCTACCTTGGAACCGAATTAAGCAAATCCATGCTCACCCATAATTTTTACCCATTATTGTTCATTTTAAATGTTCATATAGGTTAATAATGATAATTAAACCAAAAATGGCCTTAGTGACCTATTTAGTGTTTGGAATCAATGACATTTTCTTGAAAAACGACACTACATCAGCACCACGTATGGAATCCATTCTTTTTTCAAACGTCTTATGTTTGGTTATATGTTTTTTTTTTCAACAAATGTATTCTTAAACCATGCATTGGAATTTGAGAAATGTGTGGTATAAGAAAGCATCATTATTATTATTATTTTTACTATTAGTAGCAATAATATGATGGAGTGGCATTGAAAAACACATATGTGTAACAACCAACAACAATCCCAAACATTAAAAAAAAGGGCTTTATAAGAAAATGGCCCTACGGTGCAAATGATTACCTATTTAAAGAATTTGAAGAATTACATTGATTCATTTTTTAACAAAGTCCCAACTTAATCACAATTTAAAGAATTAAAATAATTATATTGGTCATGAGCTTGAATGTGCATTTCTCTCATGGCTAAGATAAAGTCCAATGCCCAAACCCGAACTCGACCCGACCCGACCCATTAACAACTCCACTAATTAGTTGTAGGGTAAAAGACTTAAACATTCTTTCATATTTCACATAAATAGCAAAACATCCCCTAATTTTTTTAATTAGACTTATAGACTCCCCTCTCACATTTATAAATGGCTAACTTTGATGAAAAGGGAAAATGACTAAAATACCCCGAATTAAAGTTTGGATTTGATTGTTTAATTTTCTATAATTAATTTAAAGTTAAAAGTCTACAAAGTAGTAAAAACTTGACTGCTATGGGGGATCAAGAACTCTTGCATTTGCACGAACCTATTTTCATGTCAAACAATAATCGCATCAATGAAAATACTCAATAAATGTGTTTACCACTTATGAAAAGGTTGTTGAAGATTCATTTTTTGACAATTATGGATTTCAAGGGAGGTGAAAAGTTGGGTGATGGATTATTGCACTTCTTTATTAACTATAAAGTGGGTTTCTTCATTGACAATTAACAACCGGTGATCTTAATTTCCTCACAAAAGGGTAAGTGTATATTTTTCTGAGCTTATTTTGTTAAATCTTCACTTTGAACTTTTTTTTTTCCATAAATTATTTTATCTTCTTTTTTTTTCAGAAATATATTACAATTTTATGAAAATAAGTATTTGTTTTAACCACACATACTAAAAACAATAATTTTTATTAACACAAAAGTCAATAAAATAAAAAGAGAAGAGAGGAAAAACTAACAACGGTAATGAATTTGTTCAATGTTGCTTTCTCTACATGATAATTTTTTAAAAACTAAGGTTGTGTTTGGTTTTAAGGAAAAAGTAGGAAAAAGGAAGGGAAAGACAGGAAAACCTATATACAAGGTTTGTAAAGGTTTCCCTACATTTCCCTTCCCTTCCCTACCTCTTTCCTTCAAACCAAACATAGCCTAAGCAAAGAGATAATGATGGATAAAACTGAGATTTTTAAAAAACATAAACCACATATATGTCATGTGCTAATAAATATGATGGAGATTTAAGGGATGGGAGGTGTTTTGAGAAGAGAGGTTTAAGTCCAATTTAAAAGGTGAGGGGATGGTTTAGCATTTAGGTGAAATATTATGGGAGGTTTAAGTCTTTCCCACTAGTAGGGGTGCTTACGGTTTGGTTAACTGAATCGTGGGATATTTTTTCAAACCGAACCGATTTGATCGGTTTTTTAAATATCCAAACCAAAATGAATTGATGCAATCGGTTAACTGGTTCAATTTTTCGTTTTTTTATGCACTTAAAAATAAAGAAAAACTAAAACTATCGGTGGTATCGGTGCCGGACTTGTTGTTGTCGGTTGTCGCCTGAAGTGAGAGTTTGAAATGTGGCGCCTAACGGAGTCAAAGAGAGGAGAAAGGAGAGATACGAAGATGGCGTTGGTGCTTGCTTGCCGGCGAGGCGGCAACCGACGTTACCGCTTGGTGCTGGTGGTTGGTGTGGGTCGTGCGACAGAGATGACAGGCGATAAGAGAGAGATACTCAGACACTCACATAGAATAGGGAGACAAGACACTGGGGGAGAGCTAGAAAGGCTGTCGGTTGGAGGACGACCGACACCGGAGGAAAGCAAAGGGAACTGCGGCACCAACTGCCGAACTGGGCACTTGGCCACTTGGGATTGGGGTCTGGCTGTCCAGGGAATATGAAGAGTTGAAGACTAAGCGTAAAAGAGACTAAGAGAGTGAGAAACAAAAATTGAGAGAGTGAGAGATGGTTTAGGTTTCGAAATTATAAGAGACAAAAGAGAAAGGCTGAAAGGTTTCAATATTTTAAGAGACAAAGAGACTAGGAGTTGCCGGTCTAGCACTTTGGGAGTGTTCGATTTTCAATTGAAATAAAATATAATATATTTCAATTTTCAATTGAAAGGTTTGAAGAGAAAAGCTGAAAGTCTCGACTGCTGAACTTTTTTTTTTGATTTTCAGAAAAAATATAATAAGTATAATATTATATAAATATATATTAGTATATATATATTGGTCGATTCGATTAACCGCCTTTTTTTTTTAAATGGTTAACCAAAATCGAACTAAAACTATCAGTTTACCGAATTGACTGATTTTTCGATTCGGTTTTACGATATTTTTTTGCTCACCCTCGGCTGGGCATGCCGACCGTGCATCTGCGCTGTCCGTTACCCCTACACCCGAGTCGACTCCATTGTCGGATCGAATCAAAATCCGAGTCGGCTCTACTCGCCGGGTTCAATACTTCTATTTCAAAAAAACACAGTCACAAATAAATTCCTTAATTCCAGATGCATACAGGGCGCGAAGAACCATCAACCTAGCGGGAAGAATAACGAAAGAGGATGTTGAGGAAGCTCTTCGCCGGCGCCAGTGGCACCGTGGACCAATGGCGCATGATATCAACTCGTCGCTTCTCCTCCATTTCCCCCGCCGTCGATTCTATCGTGCTCCGCTCGCTGAAAGAGCACTACCTCGAAGTCTCTAAAATGACTCCACCACCAGTAACTCCATCAAACAAACTCTCCCTTCTCTGCATTTCTTGGAAATAGTCGAGCTGAATTTGTGTTGAGTTTCTATTTATCTCCCCTAATTTTATATAGGGTTTTAGCACTTCTGCTAAATCTGTCCATGTTTTGTGTTTCACAGAAGGTGAACCCACCGGCTCCTTTCACAATCCTGAAAGGCGCACTCGATTCAGACGGCCCCGTGCTCCGGCGAACTTATGGCGATGAAGAGATAAGTATATCAGTTATGCGGTTAGCCAACATTATTCCTGGTGGTGGAGATGAAGATGAGGACGGCATTAATCAGTTATTCCTTCATGTTCATGTATCGAAGCCCGAACGAGAGGATTCCATTCATTTCTTGTGTGGGCTTTATCCAGATGCATTGGGAATTCACTCTGTTTCTATGCGTCCAAAGCTCCAGTCTTCTCAATTGTTGGTTGTTCCTAAGAAATATAGTGGTCCGATTTTCCAGTAAGTCTTCTTCTTATTCTTAGCTTGTTTCTCTTTATTTTTCTGTTTATCATTTTTTTGTTCACTTAAGTACAGGAGAATAATGTTAAACATAACTTGTGAATGTTTGTATACGTTTATTCTCTCGAATTATCTGATTATGCATATGTACAGCAGCGGATACAGAATCAGATTACGTATTTACAGGACAGATTAACGGTTATATTTTTCACCAAAGTAAACCTTGTACTTGATTCATGAAATCTTACATTTAGGGAATGGGCTCAAATAGCTGCTCTGTAATCCCCAATCCCAAGCAAAGTAGTAGGTACTATCGACATGGTATCTTGAAGTACAAAAAGGAAATTTTGATATAAGTCTGAATATAAGTATTTTTTTGGGCGATCAGCAAGTCTGAATATAAGTTTCTTGAACTAACTATCCAAAAAAGGAAAAAAAAGTTTCTTGAACCACGGGTCTATATGATGGTGATACAAAAGCAAGGTTTTAAAAATTTCTGGAATGTTACGTTTTGGCTCTGAAAAACTCTGGAATGAGATCTGTCTACAATAAATATTTCGCAAACTTGTTTTTTCATTGGTAATTAAACAGGAAATTTATTAAGAAAATCAAAGACTAGAAGAAAGTACAATGAAGAAAGAAAGCTTAAACATTTCCATATAATTGGAAAGTGAGCTATCCTCACCTGTTTGTGCATTGCAGAGCGGCCAATTTTTGCTGGACAATGTTTCTAAACCTTTGCAGGTTAGAAGGGTGCTTCCCAGGCAGGCTGAATTCTATGTTGATTGGCTGAAATCTGAGTGGCCTAGCTAAAAAAGGAAAAGTGGTGTATAGTTGCATTCCAGCAACAACCAATTGGAACATTTGGAAGGAAGAAACTCACACATTCGTGAATGTGACATATTCTGACGAGGAGCTTTTTTTGGTAATAAAGAAAGAAAATTTATTAAAATAAAAAGAGAGAATACAAAGAAAGGTGACCAGTGGTCACCTGAGAGAACAAAAAGAAAAAAAACATTTCCTACTCCAAGACAGCACCCAGACTTCAAGAAACAAACTTCACACCCTCTGACACGACAACTCCACCTCAGCAAAAAGAACATCTCCCCCACTACAACAGACCTTACAAAGAGATAAAGTGACAACACACAAATACTTCTACTAGCTTTCTTCGATTTCTTCACCTTCTTATTAAGACCAATTCCAAACAAACCCCCTTTCGATCTTGCAAAGACTCTTGAGATCTGAATTGTTTGTAGATTCTTTTAGCTACTAAATCTTCCTACTGCATTTGGTTTCTTTAGTATCTTCCTAGATCTCTGCCCCTCATTAATTCTTTCCAGCTCCAGCACAACTTTATCTCAAAAAGCTGAGAAGACTTTGACTCTTCCTCCTCTAGTCCTCTCTAACAATTGCTTCAGAACCCTTACCCTTGATATTTTCCTTCCTATCTAAATTTGAATTGACACCCACTTCTACAGAATTTTCATTCAAAATTACTTTATCTTGATGATTAGGCATTAGGAATTTTTCTTCTAACTCTCTAAACATCTTCCTCCCCTCCTAAAACAAGAATCCCCAAGGCTTTGCTTACAGCTACTGCAGTTTCCACTGTCCTTTCGACATAAACTCTCCCCTCAAACTTCGTGATTGTCTTCCTTTGAAACATCTTCTTCTCCTTCTTCCTCTTCATCAGCTGAAACCTCATTCTCCTCTTGCAAAGGCCTAGTACGATACATTCTTTTCCTAATATAGATTTTAGAGCACCGCATAACCAGATCCTCATCCCATTGTTGTTGTTGTCGTCATCAATTCCTCCCTCCTTCTCTAACTCTATCTCTGTCTCTCTTCTGCCATTATCTTTTTCAACCAAAATCTTCTCAACGCTTTCTTTTTCTTTACTCCCCTAAACTCACTACCAAATTGGTGTCACCCCCATCATTGTTAAGAGTCACAAGACTCAAATTAGGAACATTAGAGACAAGCGCAAGCCTAATATTCTCAGGTTGCAATTCAGAGCTCTTTCCAGACACACAATCTCTTCACCATCTGTGTTCTTATCCCTAAAAGAGTCTTATATTTTCTCCACCATCAGCTATCCAAGATTATTAGCACTTAACTTGGATTTCTATTCACAAAGTGTGAGAAAGTGGATATACATTTAAGGATTTGAAAGTGAGGTATTGAGAAAGAAGGTGAGACGAAGGCAATATCACAAAACAAAACAAATACCTCGTACAATGCGATCTCGCTAGTGTAAGTGAGAACCAAAAGTAATAAATGGTCTTGGCCTCATGCGGGACTTGCATCTAGACCATAGATAGTCTTTGAGAGTGTGCTTGGGGAGAGATGTGTGACCCCTCTTAGGGAAAGTACGACCGGTTGTACTTGATGTCCGTGCGGATACGTGCCATTCCTTGAGTGGCCCCAAGAATGTGGTCTAACAACATTTTGGTCCTCAGGACATGTGTCTCTTAGGGAGAAAGAGATGGTATTTGCTTCATGCATGTTTGTTAATGTAAAGAAGATTCTGGAACATATGGAGCTATGCACATAGATTGGCTTCCCAATTCTATAAAGAGAGGATCCTTTTTCTTTAGCCATTTTTCCATAATCCCCTTGGTTACTCATCCTTTCTCAGTTTCCTATCCCTAGCTCTCGTCACCCCTAGGCATCCTTGCTTCCCAACTTCAAGACCTATAGACCATCCTCATTTTTTTGATAAGTAATAATAAAAATTTATTAAAAACAAAAATAGGATACGATCCTAAAGGCAGGTGTTAAGACAACACCTCCAAGCCCAACAACGATTCAACTACTCTCCTAAACCAACACAAAAAATAAAAACAGAGAGAAGCCACACATGCACATTAATACACCATCACCAAGCAACGACTACTGGAAGCAAATCAATCCTCCACCTCATCGAATTCTTCTCCTCATCCCAGATTTCTCCCCCTAAGGCTTTAGGAAACTTTCTCATATTCTCCTCCTTTCTCTTTCTTTCGATCTGTTCAAAAGCTCTCCTGGCAAAACTTTCACCTCCTAGGAAGAACAAGCCCTGAGTCTTGTCGACTTCCACCTCCCTACCAACAAGAGTCTTCAAGTCCACACTTCCTATCTTCATTTCCTTTTCCTTCGACACCATCTTACCAGAGGCCATGTCTACATCAGTTTCAACCTTGCATGTAGACCTTGAACAATCACCCTTTTTTGACTTCTCCCATTGAGGAGCCCCCAGATCAGTCAGACTATCAGCCCCTTCGGATGATGTAGGAAGCTCCAAGCTAGGATTCACAAGACTGAATTTTAAATTTTACTCCCCTTCTCAAGACTCTAGACCATCCTCATCCCATAGACTTATATCAAGAATCTTTGGTTATAGTCTTGTCTTGGGGAGATATGCCATTGAGTAGAGCACCTGCAACACATGCAAATGAAGCGCAACAATCAGTGGTACCGTAGGAGGCTATACAGTTGGTTTCAATGCCAGACATAGGAAGTATCGCCTACATACAAAGATGAGCCTGGTGATAATTAGGCTAATCTGGCTAGAAAAGTCTATGATATGGAAGATTGGCTTGACCGGATGGAGGAGCAATAGAAAGAATGAGTGGATTGAATGGAACAAAAGCAAGATCGACTGTTTCATTGGTTGCAAAGCTAGTTTGCAACACGATAAGCACAACCGATACCAACAACAACATGCATTTCAACCCCACCTTCACCAGAATTGGAGCCAACACCCCCCACACTTGGGCAACTAAGAATGGCAATGGGACGGGGACCATATTCCCCATCCCGACCTCGATTTTGAAACAAATCCTCGTCCTCGAACCCGATTCCTATTGAGGATAAAAGTTACCCTTCACCTCGATCCACGATGGAGACGGGTTCTTGTGGGGATCCGAATTTCTGAAATATTTTAATTAAAAATATTTTTTGGAAAATAAATTTACTTAAAGGAAAAATTTTAAAATGTATATATAATATTTTAAATATATTTTGATATATATAATATAATATATATTTAATATAAGTAATATTTAATATATATAATTGGGGTTAGGGCAAGGCAGGGACTTCACTCCCCATCCCCATCCCAATCTCTAACAGAGGATGCCTATTAATCCCCATCCCCGCCCCTGCCCTTGCCAAGGCAATCTCCATTTTTGACCCCATCAGGTCAGGGAGGTCAGATACTCGGAGGGGATGGGGAAAATTGCCATCCCTATGGGCAACCAGCACTGGAGTTCTATAGATCTCCATTAGATCCGAAGCTACCACTGTGATCTACTTCACCATGGCCATCATCACCTGTACAACACCAAACGTGTCTAAGACATAGAAAAGATGTGTCTAAGATCTTGGGTGGCCTTCAAGAAGCCCTTGAGCAGGACATTTTTGAGGAGGAAATAATGCATAGAAGGCACAAAACTTGTCTAAGAGTTCAGTCCTATCTATGTAAAGTTAGGTCTCGAGAGGCAAATCATTAGATAGTTAAATGTCCGAGATGGCCATGTCGTTATTGACAGGTTAAGACCTTCAATGGTGCATATTTGTTTTATTTTCAAGAAAATAACATATTAGAGTTGTTGATGCATGTTTTGTGGAGTATACCTTGATGGTAGTATTACCACCATTCAAAGTGGAATTAAATTATGCCATCCAAAGATGATGGTGACATGATGTGTGTCAACAAAGTAATTATACTCCATACTGTCATTACATAGATTGACTTGTAATTTTGGTAAGATGCAATTAAAAGCATTTCAAATCATATAGCAGTTTAATTATCACAATTCAAGAAAGAAGCCATACTTTAAGGAAAGTGTATCTTTTCCCAAGATGTTTGTTTCTTAATGATCAGAACATATTTAATGGATATACTTTATAAATATCAAATGTAAAAGCCATAGAAATCACTTTGTGTCTAAATAACAATCACTCTAGAGAGTGATAAAAGTTCTCAAGAAAAAAAAAAGAAAAACAGTAAATAT